TAATAATAAAAAAAATAACAATAATGCCTCCCTCCCCCGTCCTCTCATCTTATCCATACAATTCCCTCTCTCCTACCAATTTTCCCTTCTCTCACCTTCTTCACACAACCCCAATACTTCCCACCTCATTCACTCACCCTTCGGATTCTCCCCCTCTTCCCATCTCATTCACTCAACCCCTGACCCTTCCCCCTCTCTCACCTCAACGACACAAGTTCCTGCCCCCTCCATCTCTCCCACCTCATCCTCACAAACCCTTGATTCCTCCCCTCTCCCACCTCATCCACACACACACACCCCTGACCCTCCCCACCCTCTCACCTCATCCACACAGGTCCCTCCGTTGTGGCAGGAGTTGATGAGGCAGTCGTTGTGGTTGATCTCACAGAGCAGGCCCTCGGTGCCGGGTGGGCAGGAGCAGTGGAAGTTGTCCACCAGGTCGTGGCACGTGCCGCCGTTGTCGCACGGCTGGTTGGCGCAGTAATCCACGTCCAGCTCGCAGTTCAGACCCTGAGGCAATGAATGTTGGAGTGTTGTTTGAGTCCAGAGATTTTACTGGATTATCAAATTTAAAGTTTGATATTCGGAATATAACATTATTATTGAATTTGAAGTTTGAGATTTGGAATACTTCAACATTATTGAATTTGAAGTTTGAGATTCGAAATATTACAGTATTATAAAATTTGAAGTTCTCCTATCTTCACTTTATTAGCAAACTGCTCATATCTTGGCATAATCATTAAGTTAGCAAGCCACGACTTCAAGCCATACCTGGAAACCTTTGGCACACTGGCAAGTGTACTTTCCAATCCGATCAGAGCAGGTGGCACCGTTTTGGCAGGGTCCGGATGCGCACTCGTCGATCTCCTTCTCGCAGTAGGATCCCTCGTAACCATGGCGACACTCACAGGTGTGTGTGTTGCCCGCGTCGAAACATGTTCCCCCATTCTCACACAAGTCGCTCACTAACACCTCTGAGGAAAACGTGAGTGTGTAGAACAGGTTTAGAGACATGGCCACATTCACAATGCTTCAGAGACTACCTCATCAAGTCTTCAGGTATAAGTAAGAGTTTTAGAGGTCATACAAATAAGGTGCTTTGTTTGTTTGTTAAGGTTTTAGTTTTATTAAGAGTTTTACGGCACTTGCAACACAATCAGGTCATATAAGTGATAAAGATTAGAGGTGTTACAAGAGAGTAACAAACACAAAAAAGAAAAAGAGATCAGGACGATAGATGTTTGATAGGAAAGAAGGAGCAAACCCCACCACCAGAGGAGCACCCGCCAACCACCCACACTTACTCTTGAGAGCGGCGGCGGCCTTGCAAGTGATGGAGCGGATGTCGCA